GTGTCTGCACTGCCCACCTGTGCCAGCAGCAATGCCCTGGGCAGTGCCCGGCCCTCGCAGGCAGGTGAGAGGGGCTGGGTGCTCCTCCCAAGAGTGCAACAGGGTCCTCCCTTGCACCCCAATCCTGGGGGCTGGGGTGAGGGCTGTGGTGCCCATGAACGTGGTGTTGTGCCATGATTTCCCAGTCCTTAATCCTGTGCATCCTTCCCCTGCCCTTCCTCCCCAGCATCCTTCCCCTGCCCTTCCTCCCCAGCATCCTTCCCCTGCCCTTCCTCCCCAGCATCCTTCTTTCATTCCTCCCCAGCATCACTTCCCTGCTCTTCCTTCCCAGAATCCTACCTCTTCCCATCCTCCCCAGCATCCCTCCTCTTCTCTTCCTCCCCAGCATCCTTTCCCTGGCCTTCCTCACCAGAATCCTCCCCCTTCCCATCCTCCTGAGCATCCTTCCTCTTCCTTTCCTCCCCAGCACCCCCACCAGCACCCCGGAGCAGAGCTCCCAGCCCACAGCAGGCAAAGGAGAACCCCAACCTCCAGAGCAGGGATCTTTCCCGATCTCAGCGCACCCTGACACTGCCCGAGAGGAAAGGGACTCGGGATGGGCTGGACATCCTCATTGGTAGGGTCACAGAGGGGCTCTGCCCTGCTGCCAGGGGCTGCCTGGTCCTCGCTGGAGCAACTGGCAGGGTCAAGGCGTGCCCGGGCTTGGCAGTGCTCCCGCTGTCCTTGCAGGGAAGAGAGCCTTTCCCAAGCTGGAGGAGAAGGTGGGACAGCTGGAGAGGGCCTGCCGTGTGAAGGGCAGGCTGAAAGCCGGCTCCGAGATGAACCTCCTGGCCATCGGGAAGTCACTGAAGGGCCACATCGCTGCCACCGCCAGCTCGGCCGGCTCCGAGGTGGGGGACACGGGATGCAGGGAGAGCAAAGGGTTTGGGGGGCTGCCCTCACCCTCTCCCCGCTGTTTTTCCCCCAGGGATCATTCCTCAGGCCGCTGCTGAAACGCACCACGTCGGCGAGGAGCGCCCTGAAACCGCCCCCGTCACCCGTCATCGTGGAGAAGGGGAACGTGAGGCAGAAGATGAAGGTACCCCCGGGGATCCAGGCGGGGTGGGAAGGGCTCAGGTGATCCCAAGGCACGGGGAGACGGGGGATTGACCGTTCCTGGGCCGCCCTCCAGGAGTGGGAGATGAGGTCTGCGATGTGACCCCGCCCGCCTGCAGACGGAGCTGCCGGAGCGGGAGTGTCCCGGCTGCGCGTGGATCGTGCAGGACCGGCCTGGATTCAGCCTGGAATCTGACTTTTATCCGTCCAGTATCAACGCTACCACTACGCACATCTATTTTTTATATATAGATATATAGATATATACATATCAAGCTCTCCCTCGGTGGGTTTCCAGCCTCTCCCCGCTGCGTTCCCGCCCGTCCCAGCACCTCGTTTTCGGGGTACAGAATTCCCAGGTACAATTTCCTGAGCTGCTGGCTCTGCCCCCAGTGTGGGTCCGGTGCAAACTGTGCCTTGGCAGTGCCCCAGCCCCCCCAGGACCCCCATTTCTAGGGATGGGTACGGATCCACCTCGGATCGAGCAGCTGGAGGGGCACACACACAGTTCAGGGGCATCCAGTTCTCCATTCCCTGGAGCTGGCAGGACCCAGGCTGGGCCCTGGGTGGTTTTCCAACAGCTGTGCTCCTCAGGGCTTGGTTTTCGTTGGAGAAATGGTTTTTTGGTTTTTTTGTTGTGTTTTTTTTTTTTTTTAAGGACTAAAAAAAAAAAAATATGTCGTGAAACATGCGTTGTGCTGTGTGAAAGGGAGAGCTGGGGAAGGGGGATGTCCTTGTCCTTGTCCTTATCCTGGTGCGTTATGAGGGGTATCCCCACCCCAGTGCAGGGAGTGCTGTCCTTGTCCATCCCTATCCCAGTGCAAGGTGTGTGTGAGGTCCTTCCCTATCCCAGTGCGAGGTGTACACGGGGTTTATCCCTGTCCCTGTGCGAGGTGTGTGTGGGTTCCATCCCCATCCCAG